CCTCTTTTCTCGTATCTTGAGCTGTAATGTTTGGTTATGGGCTGAGGACCCTCTTTGTTTTCACGGCAATGAATTTTCCTCGTAGGACTCGCTTTGCGCATCACGTACGTTCGGTTTGTTGTGTTTTTGTTTTCCGTCGTCACATGGTATTTTCTGGTTTCTGTTTAACTTCTTGTTTGACCCATTGGTTGTTGAAGCGTGTGTGGTTTAATTCCCCGGCATTTGTAGATTTTTCCAGTTTCCTCTGTTATTGACTGCTTATTCCTCTGTGAGTGGAACATACACTTGGTACGAGTTCGGTCTTTTTAAGATGTTTGTTGGGTACCACTGAGTCCGATCTCGTGGACAACACACAAGAACACTGTGGTTTGTTTGTTTTTTTTTGCCATGCTCACAACCACTGCTGCGTTCAGTCCATGCTGAGGCCATGTCACCGAAAGTCTTCCTCCTCTTTACTGGCCCTGTGTTATACCAAGCGTGCTCTTTTTTCCGGAGACCGGTCTCTCTTGACCATGTCCAAATGACGGGAGACCAAGTCTCACCATCTCTGCTGCTGGCTGCAGTGCTGCTCAGACAGATTTGTTTGCCCCTATGGCAGCTCATGGTACTCATTTTCATCGCCAAGGATGCTGGGATTCCCGTTGCCCAGTTTGGTGATGACTCTCACAGTAGAATGTCTTCCCTTGATCCAGGAATCCTCTCTCCGAGGTTCACCGCATTCCACCAGAATCCATTTGAGAGCCACGATGATGTTCCTTGTGACACATCTTGCTCCGCATCTGGCTTGCATTTCGAGAAGCCCCTGTTGAGGAACTCCTGCAAACATTTTGAATCATCTTCAGCAGAACCCTGCTTGTGCGTAGACACCGATGATCTCGTTCGTGGCTTTCCGCCTTCTCTTGGTTCACCTTTCTGTGGTGTAGGCACAAATCACGGGTTTCTTTTGAAGGCTATTAAAACTTACTGGTGGCCTAACATGTTAGCTCTCTGGGAGACTCTTCCACGTGTACGTCGGAAGATTGTGCTTTCTTTCGGAGTTGGGTGAAATGCTTCATGTTGGCTGTCAAATTTAGCTGCTGTATCGTTGAGTTCCAGCCCTCCGTTTCTTGAACTTCTGCCTGGTTGCTCTGTTCGCTACTGCAGGCGGGCTGCTGAACTCTCCCAGCATTATTTTGACATGGTTTGGTTCTCCGTTCAGTTCTGCTCACTGATGGTCCGTATGGTCTGTGGCCTGGTGGCACGATCACTTAGGCATTGGGCTGCTAACCTGGAGGCGAGCCATTCAAACCCACCAGCTGCTCGAGGAAGCCCGCTGCTCCGTGCTTCAGGATCGCCTCGTGCCCGTGAATTTGGTTTGGGTCTTAGTGCATAGAGCGTTCTGTTGGTTCTCTCTTCTGGGTTGACAAAGCCGGTTTACCGTAGGAGCCCTGGTGACATAGCGGCCAGCAGTTTGAGACCACCAGCCACTGAGGGAGAAAGCTTTCTACTCACGTCAGTGCTTAGAACCCAGGAAACTCACGGGCAGTTGCACCGTGTCCCGCAGGGTTGCTATGCGTCGGCATACCTGGATGGCAGTGGGTTTGGTTTGGTTTGGTTCACTGTAAGCCATACCCTCTGTTTTGGGTGGTTCCTGTGGGCCCCGACCCTCACAGGTGGTCCCGTCCCTGGGTGCTGGGTGTGCAGGTCAGTATCCTGGTGGAGATGAGTCAGGTTGGTAATAAGTAAGGATTATAGTAAAGCATCGAAAGCATGAGAGCTAGAAGAGAGATTGAAATAACGGAGTCAGACACATTTCATGGTAGCATGCTCCCCTCAGCCTCACTTGGTCCACGTGGAGAGAGAGAGATTTATTGCTAACCAAGGCTTTTATATTCTCTGGGGACGTGCAAGCGCCCTAATTACAGGTGAAGACTTCCGTCACAGGAAGGGGTTGTGCTATAGGTGATGCAGTAATGGGAGGGGGTGATCTAGGGATATCCACGTAATAGGAAGGGGCGGTATTGGGAGTATACATGTGACAAGAATGGGCAGATCCCAGATTCAGAGAGGCAGCTTAATTTTGGAGATCACTGAGCCAGTTTGACCTGTTCTCTGGCTCATTATAGAAACCATTATCAGTAGGGTGTAAAC